GTAAAACTAATTATCGAAAGAAAGTTATGAAAATTGTGCATGGGTTGATGGATTCCATGACTACGTTTATTAAAGTCAAACAGTTTGTGGCCAGGCACTGCTAAACAAGTCTTGGAAATGAAATGGAAGTATTGAGGAAATGAACATGTAACTGGTTGGGAAGAATTAATTTGGAAATTCACTTTCCGGTACACCAAATGAATATATTTCTTTCCAAGCCTTTCCTGCTGCTACTGGTTTTTAGTGGAAGCCTCTGGTTGTCTTTAAGGTCTCATTTGTCACAGATGGGTCTTGCTCTATTTTCTCTTCAAGATGTACTCCCAAGTGTGTCTTCCCATAAACTTAGCGTAAGCTGATTCTGTCAGGCAGACTTTTCTCAACAGCAAATGGCAGAAAACCCAACCTAAAATTACTGAAGTCATTGAGGAATTTAGCAGCATACATGGAATGGTAGATCTTTCCAGTTTCAAGAACATCTGGCTTAAGCTGCCCAAATGAACTCACCAGGTTTCTTGATGACAAGATGCTAACAAAGACCAGATCTTATGTCTTCTTGTCATCTAGCAGTAAAGCCTTTTTCCTCAAAGAGAAACATTCACCTTTGTCCCTAATAGGCCTGGAGGGAGTATTCATATCTCCCCTAAATTAGTCCCTATGATCAAGGGAATGGAATTACTCTGGCTAGCTAGGACCAATAAAGGGCTCATTCCATTTATGGACATCAATTTTAACTAAAGAACAGGGGAATTCGAGTATGGTTTGACTAGAAATAGGATTAGTAGATGCCGTGTGGCAAACATAAGAAAAAGTAATCTTCACTACAATGAATGCGGCCTTTACTTCAGCCAACACTTTATTTACATGGCAGCATGATTGCCAGTGACATGACATGTTAACTCCGGTTTTATATCTTATACCTTACTCTCCCGACTCTGTACTGCCTCTAATACATTCACACAGTTTGAATGAAAGGTCTGGTTAGGAAATGCTTAGAAACATTCTATCATTTTATATGCAGGTAAAACCTCAAATCAATAAAGGAAGAAAGTCTATGTTATACCCTTAAGGGGAAAGAAGAGTCTCCAGATGTAACAATTTAACTGGGCACCACTGATTAATTTATACATTAGAGGTTTTGGAGTACATTTTTCTTAAGAAGAGATGAGGGCCTGCTTGTAAGGAATCCCCAATGCATTAGGTTTAAGGAGAGGAGTTCTATATTTGGAAGGCAAAAGGAAGTGAGTTAGCAATTTGGGTTGATGCAAGAAGGAACCACGCTGGCTTGGAAAAATCCCTAGTGGTAGTAGGGATGCTTGATTCAATTGTTCTGTGTTTTATTAGCAACACCAATAGTGTAGTTAGAGCTCTGCTCCTTTAGACTAGCCATTTTGCTTTTCTGTGGTATTTTTCATCTACCATTACACCATCTCATGCCACCTCTTCCCTACTTCCCTCCCTCCCCAAGCCTTTTTCCTGATGCTTGTGAAAAGGCTCCATATCTGATAATTAACTTAAAACTTCCTTGGTTCTTTAAAGTGAGTTATTCATTAACAGGCCCTACATGACTGGTTAGTAGACAAATCTAATTCTTTCAAACTGCAGATGTGCTCAGAGAAGCTTCTACAAATCTACTATAGAAATAAGGGAAGCTTTTTGCTAATCATTAGGTCTAAATAGAAATTTGGAGAGGGAGAGAATTCATTCGTTTACTGGATTCTGATTATGAACGGTGAGTCCATGAGGAGGGAATCAAGTGCACTGCTGGCTTGACAAGCACATAGGGAGGTGCCAGCAGCCACAGATAGGACGGGCAGGGGCTGCCGGGCTGCCTCTGAGCATGTGGGTCCCAGCTCAAGGGCTCTAAAAATCAAGCATTTTGCTTTCTATTTCCAATGATGTCCAGGTGTGCTGTGTTAAGAGGTAACTGTCTTTTTTCTGTTTTTTGTTTGGCAAAAACAAAAGCTAATTATAGTAAATGTCAGAAGCTGCAGGGAGGCAAGGAGTGGGGCTGGGGAATGGCTCAGGAACTTCGAAGGGCTGGCTGATTATGCAGATAAAGCATGTTTGGGAACTGTGTGTCTAGCCATGTATGAATGCATTTCAGTTATTAGGATAAAAAAGTCACTTGTGTGGGTGAATAAAACACGTCTCTAGGCCTCAGGAGCAGAAAGCTGTGCTTCTAGATTCATATGATATGCATTTTTGTTTAACTCCATAATCTAGTTTCATTTTCATCATATTTTGTTTACCTCAAGAAAGGTTTTGCAATGGGCAAAGAAACTAGCCTTGTCTATGATTGTACATATTAGATGTATAAAGTAAATAGAATCATTACAGTCAGTAAGTTGGACAGAGTCACCATTACTGTTTATTATTGCTGTTATTTTTTTCTCTTTGGTAGTGCACATATCTTTCGGATCATAATTGAATCTAACCACTACTTTGCTCTTTCAGATAAACATTTAATTTGGCATAGCAATCAGCCATTGGGTTCAATGACATTTATATAGTTTTTAATTTAAAAATAGAAAAAAATGCTTAGGAGATTATTTGAATTGGTCATATAGTTGTAATAGATGACATATAAGTGTAAATGAAGTTCCATTTAACATTGAGTGTTCCTCATAGTTTGAGAGCTTGATGTGTTTTCTGGAAAAATAAATCCATAGAATTTATGTTAAGATTTTATGAAAGCAAGGTTTGTATCCTTCCAGAGCAAACATAACATACCAAGTCAAAATTTACAGGTGAAATTGGACACATTATGAAATCATCATGAGAGATCACAAAATACACAATTTCAGAAAGTTTATTAGACTTCAGTTTTTTCCTATTCCCCATGAAGAAAAAATGTTTGCTACTTATTTGTGTTCCAAGAAGTGCAATATTTATCCAAAATTAAATAAGTTTTCTTGCCTAGATAGCCAAAATTACTTTTTGTAGGTTCTTATAATAAGCCTGCTACAAAGTTGGACTCTATGAGTTCTGGCAAAAAGACTGAAGCTGAGTCCTTCAGCATTATTTGGAAAAACCCAGCATCACCAACTTTCAGTAGATGTGAAGTATAGCAACATGCCATAGCAGAGGAAACTGAGAGACGTCCAGGGAACAATAGACATCTGAGGGGAGGGCTGAAAACTGTGGGCCGATTCCCATGGGAACGCCTGAAGTCTTTTTACACTGTGTGAAAAAGATGGTCCTTCAAAAGAATCTTTAATCCTTTTCTTTCAAGGGAAAATTTGAGAACATTATTGAAAGTTTCTAGAACACAAATGGGTCTAAGTTAGTGGGCATTTTTAATTCAGTTGAGTAAAATGAAAATGTTTTGATGCAGAGGGATGCTGTCTAAAACAGAATGTGAATAAATATTCTATTCCAAAATTTTCTAAAGTGAGAAAATTGGTCAAGTCCTAACCTGAGTTGGAAGCTAGATGAATTCCTTGGAATAAATTTGCTTTCTGAGTTAATTATGTTTATCAAGCCCTCCTCCAAAGAGCTTTAATTTTCCTATGGTCTTTATCTCAATAGTAGAGGAATTAAGTCTTCATTTTGTATTTATACTGTAGAATCTACTTATGCATAATAAACTATTAGTGTATTTATTAGAGCACACTGAATGGAGGTCACCTTGAAAAGTCATAAAGAATGAAACTGGTACCTGAAGGGCATTCCTTTCTCACTAATAAACACAAAAGCAAATACTGGGCTTACAAGGCAAATTCAGGTATTTGGATTATGTCACCACATAAAGTCGGAGATATATTTTGTGCCAGTCCATTTCTGTTCTATGGGGGGGAATAATCTGTTATTGATGGGGGTAGGATCACAATAAGTCTCTCTCTCCAAGAAATAAGAAAATGTTGCCCAAAATATCGACAGGAAAGCATACAAGGTAGTGAAGTTGACAAATGACAAGTGAACAACAACTGGATTTAACACTAAGGAGGGCTGGGGATTTAGCTCAGTGGTTTCGCCGCCTGCTACACAAGTGCAAAGACCCAAGTTCGATCCCCGGTACCAAAAAAAAAAAAACACTAAGGGGCCAGGATCCTAAAATCCCAGAGGTCTGGGAGTCTCAGGCAGGAAGACTACAAGTTTGGGCCTAGCACACACAATTTAGCAACTAAGTAAGATCCCATCTCAGAAGAAAAACAAACATTTTTTGTAAAGAGTTGGGGATGTAGCTCAGTGTGAAGGCCATGCCCTGGGTTCAATATGCAGTACTCCCCCCACCCCAAATGAGAGCAAGAACAACAAATATATAAAAAAGATACAAATGGAAAAGGTATTTTTACACTGAATTCATTTTAGTTCATTCTACAGGAGTGTGTTTATAAGCTTTTAAAAGATGTGGCATGAGTACGTGTTTAACAGAAAAAAGACCTATAAGAATAATAATGTTATTAAGGGTATAGTTGATGTCACTTCTTTCGTGGTTGCTATACGCCAGGCTCTGTGTTAAATGATTAATGTAATCTCATTAAACCTCCCAACAACCCAGATTACGATTCTCAGGTGCAAATGAGGAACCTGAAGCTCAGAAAGGTCAATCGTCTGCCCAAGTTTACACTACAAGGAATGCACAGCTGAGACTAGAACATAGTTGTATCCAGGCTCTCACACTCTTACCACTCTTCTCTTCTTACTGGGAAGAGTCCCATGGTCTGTCCAATTCTGGATCCTACATGGTTTAAAATATGTAAGAACACTGGATAAATTCTAGGGATAAAAACCAGTAATAATGACTAGAGGATAAAGAAAAGGGAAGACTAAAGAAATCTAGTCTATTTCATTAAAATAAGAGACTTCAGAAGTATTCCATAAATCAGAAAGTTACTAAGAAAGAACGGGTCTTCTTAGGAGGACTAGCTTCTCTATTTTATAAAGAAACTTTTCCTGGGGACAGTTCTCTATTTGAGGATGGTGTCAAATATGACTGATCACCAAGTGTCCAGGAAGATTTATTAGGTCATTCTTCTGGCGCATTCAACCTGGTTCAGTGGCAGCCACCCTGGCCTCACACCTTTGTTAGCAGCATTCATTCCTGGGGAACCAGGGTCCACAATGAAGATGGATTTTTCTGCAGGACAGGCCTGAATGCTTTGCCAGCAGACAGATGATTTGACAGGAAATAGACTTACGACAGGAACAGACACATTAGGGGAAGAGAAGAATACAGCTTAAAAATACGGTTTTTAAAACACATTCTTAATAGTTTAAACCATGAGAGGATTTCAGTGCTTTTTTCCCCCTTCCTTGAAGTAGATAAAGCGGGATACATTTTATTAAAAAGTCCTCACAGATTTTCACTGAGAACCTCCCAGTAAAAAAAAAGTGGAAAAATAAAGAGTGTGTGTGTTTGTAGAGTTCCCTTCCAACAACATTAAGGCAGAGGAAGGGGTTAGTTTCTTCAGGAGCTGTGACTCACAGGACTGTCGCGCAGTGTTTCAAACGCGCGTGTGACATCTGGAGGGGGAAATCACTCAAGCTGCGGCCCTCCTCTTCCCCGGGGTGTCCGGAGCCCGCGCCCCGCAGCCCGTCCACGGACCTGCTCCGGCCCTGCGCAAGTTGTTTCCGGCGTGGCTCCCCCACCCCCACCCCCGTTCTCTCGGGGCAAGTATAGATTTTCATGAACACAGGGGGTTTTGTCTTCTGTTAAAAACAACTCTCCTTCACTGGAGCAGGCTTTGTGTCTCGCCCCAGGAAACAGCGTTCACTGGAGGTGACTCTCCGGGGCGCGGTGCAGCCTGTTACCTGACCCGGCTGGGAGCCGCCGGTGGCAGCGGGCTGCATTCCTTGAATTCTTCCACTCGGCGCTCTCCCCGCAATGAGCTACTTGAGGTTCCCTGGGCCGAGCGCATTCCGCTTGATTACTCGCTTCCTCCCTCGCTGCGCCCTGGAGTCCGCGGCCGGATCTCGCTCCCAGTCTCTAAACGTGTGGCTGAGTAGAGCAAGTGCGCCAGTGAGGAGAAGCACGCAGGTAAACCGAGTTTGCGGGACAGCCACGACTCCCGACCGGGGCCACGCCTGGCGCAGAACCCTCCCTCTTTTTGTCCAGCGTGCTTTTTCTTAGGGAAAACCGATTTGTCAATCCATACCAGCTTAAAAACAAACAAAACGAAAACTAAGGGGTGGGCCTCAGATTAAGTAAATGATTAGGGAAAGACATTATGAAGGAAAGAAATTAAAGATGCAAAGTAAAAAGAAATTTTATAAGTCATGTTGAGGGGGGTGCACAAAAAACAGTATAAATCTCCTAGATGTGAATCTTGGCTCTGTGTGTACCCTTGGCCATAGTATTTAACTGAATGAGTCCCATTTCCTCTGCGTGGAATAATGTCTACCTGCAAGTTTAATGGGAGAACTAAGAGAAGAAACTGTCTTACAAGGAGTTTGATTACAGGAAGTCTTTATAGTGCAGGTATGTTCATGCTTGTTAACATGAGTGCATATGTGTGTGTAGTCTGTACACACACACACACACACTCATGCAGGTAGGCCACAGGACTATGCCATTTATAACTGTAAGGAGTCTCTCAAAATATGAGGCAGAATATGATCTGGCTTGGAGTATCTCTGCTGTTGCAAAAAAGACTAGCAGGAGAAGCCAGATATCTGACCAAAACGTGACCAGAGCTGCTGAAAATAAATAAGGTGGCTTACAGATCTTTATTCAGCAAAGGGTGGCATAGTGTAGTGTGCAGGAGTGCTCCTTAAGTGAGGGCTGATGGGAAGAGAGGCAGCCCAATAGCACTTCTCACACGTGGTTGTGTGTATGACTACACAACATCCTGAGAGGACTTTGTACTGGGAGACCAACCGCTTGCAGTTAGCCCTGCAACATATCTTCATTGCCTTCAGTCATCTTTATAACTAGGTGACTAGACTATTTGGAAAAACTCAGAGTAGTGCCTGACATCTGGCAAACACCTGCTAAACACCAGTTCTTGGTTATGTAGAGGCAAAAACAAGGGTGAGGTTTTTCCTGCCTTCTTGAGAGTCATGACTGACACCCTTATACCAAAAATCTGATTTTTCAGGGAAAAGTATAGTTTTAAGGCTCATAGGAGCCTTCAAATTGGTAATTCAAGCACTCAGGGTGAACCATCCATTTTTAAGCTTAGTTTCAATGAAGCATGGACAGTCATGTGAAACTGATTGGACAAAAAAAGTATAATCTAATGTTAATAAACTGAATGGAAAAATCCAGTAAAGTCTATCTTCCATTCAGATTATTTTTGACGTCTCTGGGAAGCATTCCTTGCTCTTGGGTATGGGGCAGGATCCCTTCTGAAACAGGAGTCTTATGATCTACTACCAGACAAGGTAGGTTGGAAAATTTCCTTGTAGCCAGCTCCCAGACAGAAAGAGAGGGAGAAATTAAAATTTTTAGGCTTTATGGCTTGCTTTGGGGGAATAGAAGGGTTGTAATTTCTATGACCTATGTAAGACAAGAGAAATTCTACTCTCTGTGGCTTCCTTTGGGGGAGAGAAAGGAAAGCAGGAGACAGGAGGACAGGAGAAGTTTCCAGAAAAAGTTCATTCTGGGGCCTTCATTATCTGAGCCTCAACAGTGTCATTATTTTACAAAGATCTCTTTTACACATTACCAACTTTGATCTTCAAAACAGTTGAGTGAAATAAATTAGACAAGCATTAATCTCATCTTACAGATGAGACAACCCAGACTTAGGGAAGGGAAAAGCATGAACCACAGGTCTCACAGTTTCTGAATGGCCACACTGGGCCCTGAATCTCATTCCCAAACAAATGACTTAGTATGTATGCAGCATATACACACTAAATGAATCTGTGAAAGTCCTACCTATCCTAAATGGGGTTGCTCAAAGGCCATTTCCTCTACAATGCCCTTCTTTGTCCTCTTCCCCAAGGAGTAACCTCTCTCTCCCTTGTAATTCCCTAGGCTTCTTTTTGGAGTATCCAAGAGACTTTTCTGTCAGTCATTCCATATTGCAGCATGCCTGGTGCAAGTTTCATTTCCTGTACAGCTATTTATTTTTCCTTAGGGCCACAAGAAACATTTTGCACATTATGGGCACTTAAGAGTAATAGTGGCAACTGGCAGCATGGATGTGACTCCACACCAGGAGAAAAGTCTCTGGATGCTTCTCTGCACCTGCCACAAATTCCTGCTCCTTCTTGGAGCACCTGCTTGCATGTGTCTGGGGCACCTAAATCTGCCTTATGAAGTGTCAGATAAATATCCAACAAACTTACTGGTTGAGGCAAACTTATTTCCATCCAGTTTTTTTATATTTTCATGGATATTATTTCACTGAGATTATCTCTCAAGTATCTGAGACTAAAAAGAGAATGTGTCAAGGGGAAGATTCAGGAAAACACCCCCTGAATTTTTGGGGTAGATAATTGTAATTCACTGCCACATTTGCAAGGGTGCAGGCTACTTTGCATTTCCCTCACTCTGCTCTTCTCTGCCCAGTTCTCTTCTTTCCTCTTCCTGAACTTCTTTTCTTGTGACTCTCCTGCTCTTTGGTTGTCTTAAATCCCAGTTGGACAAGGATGCTGGACAGAAGAGGCGTTCCTTTTCTGACATTATGACCCCACCAATACCTTCATTCCTGTTACTCTTGCATATAGGACCATTGCTTTGAACAGTGGCTTCACATCTTACATATGGTAAATATATCATAGTGCTTATGAACTTGGAACCCCACACTAGAATATGTAGGTCCAAATCCCAACTCCTCAGCTTGCTATCTGCAGGACTGGGGCAACTTACTGTACTTAACTTCCTCATGGTTTCTCACTTACAAAAATGGGGGATGATATGTCTTTAGATAGTTGTTATGAGTATTAAAAGAGTTAACATTAATCAAAAAAATCTATGCTTGGCACACAAAGATTGCAAAATATTGGACATTTTTTGAAGTTAGTAGATAGTGCAAAAATTGCATATAGCCAATAATATCCTTGAAAATCCTAATATGACCCATGCATTGCATCATTTAAATACTATGATAGCTTATTTAGTTGAGTCATGAATGACTTAGCTTGTGTTTAGAGACCACAATGTATTAAGAATATGTATATTGAAAATTTTAAATTGCATTTAGCAGGTCAGGGATATAGCTTAGCAGTGCAGTGCCTGCCTGGCAAGCTTGAGACCCTGAGTACGATACCTGGCACCAAAAAAATTGCATTTAACACAGAGAAGTGCACCCACAGCAACCTTAGAGGGAAGGTTTGAAATCACCCAAGGAACCGCCAACTCTTCTCTCCCTTTCCACTCTCATACTGGGTGATATGCTTGGCAGAAGCACTTTATTGTTTTATTAAATAACACTCTGGGCCAGTGGTGGCAAACCTATGGCATGCGTGCTGCAACCAGATGTTGCCATTATTGAAAGCTCTAAAAGTTTTGCCATCACATCTCTAGGCTCTCACGATCAGAACATGTGGCTGCATTTGTAAGTTATATGCATGTATGAAGTGATTCCACTCCATTGTAGACTGTGAGGGGGAAACCCACAGGTGCAAAATCAGGAGACAGGCCCTGCTGTAGCTCTAATGGATTCTTGGGGAATTCATTAAATCTCCCTGGCCATTAAAGTCTGTACCAATGCAAATTGGTCTGTAGTTTTATTAAATCCAGAAGGAGGCTGATGAGAATAATCATGTATCTAATTTGTGCCATTGTACACTCTCTGTGTACTGTTAGTTCGATGAGACATACAGTGGGACTCTATTATTTCACCTATGGGAATATGGGGAAGATTGCCCGATCTTAAAACACTTCTTTTTTAGCCTGCACTTCAGTGCTATCATGTTTAATGTCAGTGTTCAAGCTGAAGTTCATGCTGATGTTCAGTAGAGATTTGCCTAACCCTGTACTTGTAGACATAGTCTTTTCTTTCATTCGTTTTGGATTAGAAGATACATAGGAATAGAGTAAGCTTCGAGATCACCTACTGAATGGAGAGTAAAGCTAGAAAATCCAGCCAAGAGGGTAGAAACTGGTTTCCACATCTAAGCTCTGAAAAAGGGCCCCAGGCATTTGAGTCTAAAGCATATTTCCTGAGCTCTCTGTTTCCTTTTAATCTCCCTTTCTGTTTGATTTCCATGGTTATCTGTTTGAGAAATATCTGGCCCTTGTTAGGCATGTTTATTGCCTGTCTACTTGTTTCCTTTTGTGTGGAATGTAGAAGGACATAGAAAGAAGAGAACAGGAGAAAAATAAGTATAATTTTTGTTCTGCTTTTTAAAGTTCAAACTAAACTGTAAAGAAAGAGCTCATTTGAAGACTCAAGCCAGAATCTGTTACCCTGTGCACATTTCTAAGCCTCTGTCTCTGTCTCTCTCTGTCTCTCTGTCTGTCTCTATCTCTGTCTGTCTCTGTCTCTGAATCTATCTCTCTCTCTCTCTCTCTCTCTCTCTCTCACACACACACACACACACACACACACACACACACACACACACACACTGCTAGGTACCAGTGTTGCAGTCTGAGCTCATGCCATTCTGCCAGTGGCTGTATTGTGTCATTTGTTTCCCTTACAGAGAGTGCCAGAGAAGACCTCAAAGTCTGGAGAAAAATGACCTTTCGTGGAATATGAAATGTACCTTCTCTTGCAAGTTTTTCTCTTAATAAACTCTGAAAACTGAACATACAGCCTTGGGTCTACGGAAAATCAACTGATCAAACTCTTCGTCATGCATCAACTGTTCAGACTAGTTTTGGGACAAAAAGATCTTTCACGAGCTGGGGACCTCTTCTCCTTAGATGACTCTGAGATCGAAGACAGCCTAACAGAAGCTTTGGAGCAGATTAAAATAATTAGCTCATCATCAGTAAGTAAACTGCTTTATACACTAAATCTCTGAAATGAATGACGTATCCTAGAGCCAAAGGATTGTATATTTCCTGGGGAAAAGAAAGATCTTTGCAAGAGAAAGAGGTGCTGTGGTTCACTTGGTGTCTAAGAAACAGCACCAGGAAAGTCGTTAGCTTAGGGGGCAGTAAGGCCACCTTTTGTCCACTCATAGAGACTAAAATTGTGGAAATCCAGAGTGGAATTGTCACAGTAATTGTTTAGGGTATATTTTTGCATCTTTGAAACGACATGGAGAGGAGAGGTAATAAATTTGAGAAAAAGCAGACCTGCCAAGCTGCACAACAGCATCAGCAGATGAAGCAGGTAATATGGTGGAGGCTGAATAATGAAAGAAGGCAGGATGACACCTTTTGCCACACAGGTATTATGAAACAAGAACAACAATTGCTCTGCTGCCAAAAATGACAGTTGCCCAGGGCTTGGTAATGCTGATTCTGTTTACTTGTGTGTTGACCCTATTATTTTTATCTTCTCTTTTTTCTATTTTTCTACCTGCCCTTCCCAGTTTAATTCAATTCACCCATTATTAATCCCTGGTGTGGCCAGTCAGATCACAAAGGGATTGGATGTGGAGTGCTCAGCGTGGCTTGATGTTGACCTTGGTTGTGCTCAGACCATCTATGAGGTTGGTTCTACTGCAAAGGCCTAGGCCACCAAACATCCTGTCACATCCTACAATTCAATAGTGTTTGCCAAAACTTGCCACAGACACCCACTGGGAAGAAGAAAGTGGTAGGACTCAGCCCATAAAGTACTGAATTGGCATGTGTTTACATATTTCAGATCTAACAGCTCTCTTCCACGTTATAATAAAGAGATGTTTAATAAGCATGCTGGCAACCAGTGCAGCTTGCTCCTCAAGCCTGTCAGCATATTCTCTTGATGACAGCCATGAACATGCCAGATTTTCCCCTGACCATGAAGTCATTGCCCAAACACCCTTCTTTTGTCAGGTAGTGTCTGCAACAGCAATCACATGTCCACATTTTTTCCAGCACGTTAGTCAACGTGGTCTGACTTAAAACAGAAAGTGTTCCTGGTACATTTTCACTTTCTGTGCTGTTTCTAGCAGCCTTCTCCTTCATTCCTCTGGAAATAAATTGACTTGAGTATGCCACTGATTTTTATCTTCCTAATAAGAAAAAAACAAAACAAAAAGTCTAAGGTCCCTAGTGTGTATTTCCACCAGAGGTCACTAGTGGTCAATGATTTCTTTTGGTTCCTTCATCAGTTGCTTTGTTTCACAGATGTCAAATGGAGAATTGTAGGTCCTATTACATATCCCCACTAGTTTAACTATTATGGGTAGCAGATCCCTTGTCATTAGGAGCATTGTTAGAACTTTAAACCCTGTGATTAGTATCCTGCCCAACCAGTGACTCTGAAAAGCAAGTCTACATGCCTTCTTCATTTACTTCAATTACATCTCACATCATCTTTTTATCTGTAACCGTTGAGGGAGCAGAAGAAAGATGATTCTAATATATATGTATTAAGTTTGAGGTAACCAATGCCAATAGCTCCATGTCTTTCTTTTCTGATCAATCCACTGAGCCATCCTGCTCACTTTGTTAGCTGCATTATATCCTTCCCAGGTCTTCCTTATTGGACATTTCCTGGTGAGCCTGCATGTCACTAATGAGAAGAGAGAATAAGAAAGTGCCTTCTAAATTGCCTTTTCTAACTTCTTCCCAGGACAGAAATCCCTACCTGATAGATGGGTGGCCTCCCCTTCTGCACTTGCAAGGATGAGGATATAGGAAATTTTTGATATATTTTTCCTTCACTCAAATTTCTTTTGGTAAAATAGTTTCTTTCCATTGAAAGAAGCTTTGATGGGGCCTTCATCAAGGTTCCATTCCACTGATGGTTATGATTCCCTACCCTGTTCTGGAAAGGGAAGGAGAGGAATGAAGGGGACACCTGACCCACTTGTCCATCAGAATTTATTTCCCAGTAATTCTAGGAAAGAAAACAGAATAGGGTGATTTATCAAGATGGTACAGTAGTGCCCCAAAAGGCAATCCTTTGTTTTCTTGATCTGTCACTACAGTTGCCTTGCTGTTTGCCTTTTCTTCCCCCCCACCATTAAGTTTATTGGTACATTTTAGGTATAAGATACAGTTACATTCATATTGGGATGTTGTACCATTACATGAGTATCTTGGTTCTCATTTTTTTCCCCTTCCCCTGCCCTCCCTTCACCCCCTCCACCCTTCCCTATTTGCAAAGATTTTCTTTCCATTTTTT